TTTCAGTGCGACATCGTGAGAGGATTTCGCTGTTGTGAGTCTGTCTGCAGTCGGTTCAGCGTAAACTGAGGGTGCGGCTTAAGCCGCAGGATTATCAAGCCCCCCCCCCCCCCAAAAAAACAAAAAACAAATAGGGAATTTTCATGCATCACGTGACTCACACCGTGCACGTTCAGACCCGTCCTGATCAGTAAAACTGCAGGCCCCGTTTTCTCCTCAGCCTCAATTCGTTTTTTTTTTGTTTTTTTTCTGCGTGTGTGAGCTGAAGCAGCACCGACTCCAAAGGCTTTTCGTAACTCAGCGGTTTTTATTAAGATTTCTTTTCCACGCTAAATCAGTAAACAGCATAAGAAAAATGAATGCAAGGAATGAGACGGTGCCGCTGTGGCAAAAGGGAGCAGCGGCACGGCCCTTCTGTCTCAGGGACAAAAAAACACATGATTGTATGTTTCTTTTGTAGGAAAACTTATTTTTCAACCCTGAACAGGTTTTCAGTCACAACAACAACAAAAATGTCTCCATGAACAGACAAAACTCTTCCATTTCTTTCTCTGTTCAATGAGTAATGCTATCCTGCACACTTGTTGCATAGCAGAAATGACCAGGCACTTGGTGAAGATTCTCAGGTAATATTTTACAGTACCTCTAATGGGACTATGTACAAACAAATCTTTTTTTATATATATATATATTTTTATCTCATCTTGAGAAGCATTACTTAGTTTCTTGAGAAATTGGGATACGTCCATCCAATGGTCCTTGACTTTCAATCTGTCTCTTTCTCTCGCACAAACGCACACGCAAACACACAGTGGAGTCGAAGATCCCTTCTGAATACGGAGGGATCGCGGCTTAAATAAGGAAATGTGACACCACAGCGGGACACTGCTTGAGATTGTCGAGGCCTCGGGCCTGGTAGGGTGAGGTAATGGGAAATGGAATAGTGCAATAAAAAAAACAAAAAGAACAAAAAAAAAACAAGATTATCGGCATTTCAAGTCAACGGAGGACACGCCCGCCAAAAGAAACATCTCAGCCTCTTCAATTTTAAAAATCCAAATTTCTTAAATTAACTTCCTTTCTTTTAAAACATGAACTGGGTCCATAGGGATGTTAGCACCCTCTCAATGAAGTGATGAAAATATAACTCTCATGTAATACTATATTTTCTGAACATAATCTCTAGCTCTTACAAATGAATGAAAAACTGAATTTACAAATACACTGATTCCTCTAAAAGGCCCAAAATATGACCCAAAAAAAAGGATAATAGAAGCATACATAGGCTAAACATCTAAGCGTCATAAATAAATGTTGAACGAAACAGCTTATTGTCTTTTTTTTTCTCCTTTTTTTCTCCAAAAGATAAAAAATAAACACAGTTTTGGTATATCTGAGTGAATTGTGGGTGTTCGCAACCCATTCCAGAAACAATAAATATGACGGCGAGGGCGCCGTCGGTTCTACCCGTACACAAACTGATCCATAAAACAGGCGGTATGGCAAATATACATATTACAGTGTTCTATAAAAGATTCCATGTGACAGTGTACTCAAATCACCTTAAATAAAGCTATCGCGTCGACAAAATATAAAATATACAGAGGACCAAATTATCAACATCCCATTTCTTGTGGCTTTACAAATAATTACTCGTATTCAAAGGACTTGCATTAGGCTACTCGACTGGAGGAGAGACGACAGGTAAATATCCAGTTACCCTGAGAGTGTGAGTCCTCCAGGAAGCATGACAAATCAGATTGTCAACATTAACTCAAAGTAATTAAGACCTTTTTTTTTAAAACACACACACACACAGAGAGGGGGAGGTGAGGGGGGACTTCCATTATTGTTTTTGTTGTACTGCGAGGCGTCCGTTTGTTTTTCCAGACATTTTTATCCAGTGTGTGCAACGTTTAAGAGTTTTCACAGCTTGGCCTTTTCCACTCCATCAGGTGCCGCTGCTGATGGGCCATCATGGTTTCCTGACTCATGAAGGCCCTGCCGCAGTACCAGCAGGGAATCTTGGACTCGAAGTCCCCGTCGGCGGAGACGGCGCCCACTATCTCGTACTTTTTCCTGCTCAGCCTGCGTAGTTTCAGCTTGAGGGTGAACCTCTCCTGCACGGGGTGTCTGCCTCCGCTCGCCTCGCCCGCCTCCCCGTTCAGGGCCGCCAGGGCGTCCAGGGTCCTCCGGGAGAGCACCACCCTCCGGACCTCCCTGTGCCTCTTCACTACCTCCATGATCCTGGCCACCTGGGGGATGTCGGCGTCCGGGTGGTTCAGCACCACGACGGGCTGGTCCCCCGCTGGACGCTTGACCAGCTGAGAGGGGTTTATGGCTACTAACTTCAGGGTCCTCTCCTGGTGCTTTGGGGCCGGCTGCGGCCGGCTCAAAGAGGCTGCTGCGGGCGCCTCCTGGATGGCTTTGCCTACGGGGGAGCGGACGCTGCTGGGGGGATCGGGGTGGGAGCATGCATCCTCAACAGTCCGGATGCTCTGCTTGGATGAAGGCTCAAGGCCGGAGTCGCCCCTGTTCCTCTTACCTGTGAGAGGAAGAAAAAAAAAAGAATCATTTAGATTGCAGTTGATCGCTATACTTAACTGACCCCTCCAACTCTTTGGCGTGCGTGGAAAACGAGGCGACGCTCGGCCATCTTACCCTCCGGTGTGGCTGCGGCTTTGAGAACAGGCGGGGACTTGCCGTCAGGAGGAGGCACTTCGTTATTAGCACTTGGACTCTTCTGACCGTCCGTCGTGGGACAGCCGGCGCCACTGTGGCCCCTCTGGAGCCGCGGCGACTCCTCGCCCGACGCCGCGTCCTCTGGATTCGTCCGGCTGGTTTCGACGGTCAGCCTTCTCCGGTCGGCTTCGGTCTGCAGGACGAGTGGCGGCCTCTCTGCGTCGTCCCGCATTTCTTCGAGGGCGCCATGGCGGTCTCCGGTCTGGTTTTCGGCGGCGCGTCCGGGCTCTGTTGGCACTCCAGAGCAGCTGAGGGCCGACTCTTTAACTGGCTCTAGTTGCAGACTTGAGGTTATGGCTTCAGGTGGGTCGGTCACGGAACCGTTGGTCCCGTTTTCTGGACTAGTCGCTCTCGCTGGATTCTGCGGGGTCTGTTCAGTCTGGTCCCCTGCTACACTGGGGTTTGGCGGTCCGTCTTTTGATGGCGACAGGGGGCTCTGTGACACCCATTGCTTCCCCATCACCGGGTTCTTCTTCAGGACTATTTTTAGGAAGTCCCCCTTTGCCTTTGATGGCTTTTTGATTCGGGCTTTTCTTTTCCGCCGTCGACTGCGTCTCCTGCTCCTCGGCAAGACTCTGCGAGCCGGCATCTTCTCTTCACCTTTGTTTGCTGATTTCAGATCACTGGGTAAATGGTTCCCGCCGCAGTCCGCGGTTCCGTCTCGGCCCTCTGTTCCCTCATCCGTCGCCACTTTGTGGTTTTCTCGGTTTTCCTGCCTTCCAGTGCATTGCGACGACTCACTCTGCGCAGACAACTCGCCGCCGTTGTTGATTTTGTTTTCGGCCTGCAGACAAGGACTCGGATCCTTTGAATTTGAGTCGCGGACTATTTGGTCAGCCGCACACGGGGGGTCCCCGGCAGCGCTTTCAGGACAGACGCTTCCCCTGTCGGTGGGGGTCACAGTTCTCAGTCTTTTAGCGTACGTGGCGCCATTCTGAGCCACAGTGATCTGGTTCTTGACGGTAAGGACAGCGAGATCCGAGGGGTTGGACATGATGCCGTTGTCCGACTTCGGGTGGAGGCTCATATCTTGGGGAACATTTGACAAAACGGATTTAAGGGCCTTGGTCCATGTCTGGTCGTTGGTTTCACCAGCGACAGATTTCATCAAAAACTGTTGGGTCTCTTCTAGTGTTGTTTGTGGATTAGACAGATGGCAGTATTTGTCCAGGAATTCTCTCCCTGGCAGAGAAAGGCAGTCCTGTGTCAGCCAGCACATTTCCCTGACGGCACTTCTTGTTAATCTGGAGTTCATTCTTGGGATGGGGTCATTGGACTTTATTGCTATGGACTGAACCTCCCGCGTCTTTTTCCTCTGGCTGCCGTTCGGGCAAAGATGGGCGGCTTTAATGTGCTTGGTTATTACCCATTTATGAGCTGCTTCAAAGCCACAGTACTGGCAGCGTAAAGGTTGGTTCTTGTCCTTTTTGAGCAGCGAAGGATCGTCGCCGTCGTCCAGGACCAAATTGTGTCCAAAAACGTGCTCTAAAAACACGGCGACTTCTCCGGTGGAGAACTTGCAGCATATTTCGCATGAATATTTCCCGTTCGAGCAATGGTGCATGGTGAGGTGTGCGCTGAATTCAGGCCACGTGCGCTGAACGTTGTCATTGCACAGGCTGCAGCTGGGAAACGTGTCCTCGTGGCTTAACAGGTGAACCTGAAGGTAGGAGAACTCGTGCGTGCTAAAAGTACACATATGACAGGAAAAGACCGGGGGAGTCCCTCTGTGTTTTTCCTCATAGTGTTTGGCTAAGTCTCTTTGTGCATATTCCGAGTTGTCCTTGCATTGAGAGCATGTGAACCTGAGTGTGTTTCCGCCGCCGTCCGTCACAGGCCGACTCTGCTGCGCTTCCTGGCGAGGCTTCTTTGACAAAGGCCACACCACCGTCTGCTCCCACTCCTCCGCTATCTTCTTTGGTCCATTCTTATCTTCGTTTTGCATAGCCGGGGGCTGAACGGCAGTCTTCCTGAGGTGAAGCCGCTTGTGCACGCTTCTGGTCTTCTTGCTGACGCACCGTTTGCTGTCCCCCGTGGAGGGGGCTGCGCACGTATCCACCGATTCCATGGTTTTCCAGGTCTCTGGAAGCAACAAGCACAGGAAGACCCCTAAGTTCAATGAAAATTTCATACGCAGCTTTGAGGTAAAGGCAACAGATGGTGGGAAAAGAAAGAAAGAAAACTAAACTTAACACCCCCCCACCCTCTCCCCCTAAGTGCTTTAAACACCTTTTTTATATTAAAAAGCTTGAGGCTACATGGACTCTGAAGTGCCTGTTTTAACATGTTTTTTTACATAAGTCCACCTGTTGCTAGTTACGATTCAAATTGCCACTGTGTGGATAACAATCCATCATAATCAACACGGATGTTCATCAACACCCAGATGCAGGAAACTACATTTAAAACTCACCTGCCCCATTCATGAACCTAAAAACCTCCATTAAAAAAAAAAAAAGAAATCATGGTGGGCGGTGCGACGAAAAAAAAAAACCTCCACACGGGAAATAACTAATGCAAGACTACTTAAACATACCGAGCGAACTTTTTTATTATTATTTTACGAGCAGGCGAATCCGGACATCACGAGTCCATCGTGTAGTTTGCCTTAACCACAACAAAGTGATAAAGCCCTGGCTCTGCAACGAGCGACGAAAACCTTGGAAACGAAATCACAATAAAACTATAACGGCGTGTAAACAGCGGGTAGTCTTTGCCCTGGCGTGGAAACGTATTCCTCGATTTAAGGCGCCGAGCTAACTGTTAAAACTCAGATAGCATGTGAGTGATTTGAATTAACGTGACGCACAAGCGCTTACAAAGACGAAATAACTTGAAGCATACCGAGCCCAGCAACAAAGTTCCCACACGCAACCCTTTTTTCCCCACACTGCTTCGAGCTACTGTTGCGCGTGGACCTGCCACGTTGAGTAAATTAGTCCTAACGGCAGAGTTGTTGAAGTAGTTGTCCCGGTTTTTTACCTTTTCTTTTGTGGAGAGCTTGACAGCTCAGCGAGTGGCAGCCATGATGGTTTCATCCGGGGATTACAGCCTCTGAGCTCCTTTAGCCTTTAGCCTGGTGCCTCCGTGCTGTCCCGGGCCTACAGCTAAACACGGACACACACACACACACACACACCGAGGCGTTTTCTGTGAAAACTACTCACCGTGGATAATTCACAGATAATTCACTCATGTCGACTTAAAGATAAAAATGCCCCCGCAAAGAGGAACTGGAGGGGATATGTTTTGGAAAATTTCAAATTGAGTCTTGTCTTTGTGTCACCATAGGTGGGAACAATACACAATGACAATTCAATTCAGTTTCCAGAAAGCGCCTTTCACGTCAAAGGACAGTGCGAAAACAACTGCTATTAAATATTCATAAATGTCTTAAAACCGTGACTCTCATAAATGGCTAAAATACAACCTCAATAACACATAGGGCGGCTGAATATTAAACAAAGGCACCGACTTATTGTAGAATACAGGGCAATTTACGTCCATTCTTGAATGTATAGGCTCCATTTGTTTTGTCTTTTTTTGTTGTTGTACGTTAACAAATCTTTTTTGAGCTGGTATTGATTAATGCCTCATCATAGATATTTTTTCAACATTTAATTTTTCTCCTAGGTTAATTTGGTGATTTCCCCCCCACATGTCATTGTGGTAATTTTAATCACATTTAATGTTGGTCAATTCATTTCTGACCCAAGTAATCTGTTTTTGTTGCCATTTATTTTCTTTCTGGCTGTATTTTTCCTTTCGGTTGCATCGCTCATCGTTTATTGGTTTTCTTGGAAGAGATGTTATGTTAAAATGTAAATATGGGCTGCAAATAGGTGGATAGCAATGTTTTACAATGACAACTGAAAGGCATGAATTTGTTTCCATCTTGAGGGATTTCTATCAGTATTATGTTTTTTTTATGCTTTAATATTAGAGAAAATGTTACTCTCAAATAGCAAGCAAACCAAAAGACATAGTTGTTTATCGTAATCTCCATAAATACATTAATATGAGAATTTCCTTCCAAAATAAAAACATTCAGTCGAGTCTCTGGATGCAAAGGCTCAAATGGGTGTGTGTCCTCTTAAATAAAACCTATCATCTTCCACAGTGCTTGCGAAGCGAAAGTTTAGGTTAGACCTCATTCATGACACTCTTGCAGAGTGAACGGCGTTTCCTCACACCTACAGAAATGGCTGACACTTTTTTAGTTCTGTAAATATGACACAATGGAAAAAGCACTCGAAACATCATTTGAAACTACCCTTTTTGCACCGGAATGTACCACAAATATTCCCTCGAAACTGCAATTATTCCTCATCTAAACTTAGTCTCTTCTTCGCTGAAGTACTGTTTGAATCAAATCTGCTGCAAAGGTTTGACTCCACACCGGCTCTCCTTCAGTCCCCGAGCAAAATCCACCAACTCACCTATTCATCCTGTCGCGTTCATTCGCACTGCCACTCTCTGACCTCCCTCACCTCCACACCGGCCACCCAACGTTGTTGTTCCTTTAACGCGGGGTAGCTGTCAGTTCTCATCTCCAGCTTGTGAATCCAGAGGGAAAGCCTTTCCAAGTCCAGACTCCAACAATTTGGAACTTTCTTTCTCATCACGCCCAAACTATTGAAAACGTATGGGAGTAAAAAATGGTCTCTTAAAGACCATGCAGCCATGCGATCTTATTCACTAAATGTTGTTGTTGTTGTTGTTAGTTTTTGTCTGTTTTAAAGTTGCAATCCTATGTGCTAGACTGGTCTTTAAGCATTTTAAAGTCAATCCCCCACCACCAACCCCCGGTATCCAGTATTATGTCAAGAACAAAGATTTGTTCTGACCTCTGTTCCTGTGTTCTGAGACACTGAGAAAGAGCCGTCAGCAGGTTGTCCACACTCCGGGGGCAGGTCAGCGGCTGTCAGCTGCTTTGTGTGAAACTGCATGACACCAAGAAAAAAAGAGAGGCGCAGCAAAGATGGCCACCAGCTCTGTTCACCCAGGATGCCTTTTGCATGGACTGGAAGAGACTTCCAGTCCAGTTAGACTGTGGAAGCCCATCATCTCAGCTGTATCTACTAGAGAGCAGTTAGCATTACCAATCCTCTTACGACTAAATGAATGTGTCCTAGTGGCCCTTTGATAGTCTGGTTACTTGTTCCCACTGCCTAAAATGGGTAGAAATTAATTGTCATTTTCAGAGGTTTTCTCAATGATAAATTTAATGAAAGTGTGAAACTGCTGCTTACCACAAATTTGAACATTTCCTTCCTGTAAGCTAAGCTAATTTTGTGCTTTGCCTTACTCTCAGACAGAGAGTAAGGGAAGAATGTCTTAATAAAAGATGTATTTCTGCTCAGTTTTCGTCTTCATAGACATCCAAATCAGTCAGTCAGCTAATCTTGTACATGAGAGCCCACATGCTCTGGAAAGATTTAGGAAACCACTGGAACGTTGACATTGTTTGTGTTTATCAGGGTCAGATTCAAGGGGGCTGTCATTTCCTGTTGGAGCAAACTGACCCATTTTGAACTAAGTTCATCTTGAAATGAGTTATTTAGCTTTCAAATATCCACCATTGCTCCTTTTTTGGCATGAAGATATATACACATCCAGAAAGAAAAATGTAGGCTATGGCTGTTTGTATGAAGGCATACAAACTTATTTACAGTGCCCATATAGAGGCATTTCTTATATGTAGAAGGCACAGAATATTTACTTCTTTTGTCATCATATTCCAAATCTTTAAGGTGCAGCTTGGAGGATTTGCAGATTTCTTTATATCATCATGAAAGATAGACAAACATAAATCATAAATATCCCCCCAGAGGTGCTCAGAACCTTTGGGGGGGTAGCACCGCTGGGGTAAACATGGAAGAAACTGAGGTAAGTTCAGATATAGGTGAAGGAAAAACACAGTATTGACACCTATCCTATGTAAAATCAGGACACTGTAAGGCTGTTTTGGTGATCATGATGAGATAAGACAAGATGAGATAAGAAGACTTTGCTGTCCAGTGGTTAAAAAACACAATGGAAATTTGCCTTTTGCATCTTGACTGTCAGCCAGCACATGAAACGGACAATAAATTAAATCATTAAATAAGAACTGAACCACTACTAAACACAGCAGAAGAAACCTCTGCCTGAAGGTGCATCTTGTTTAGTCATTATATTGTGTAATGGCTGTGTAGAGTTGTTGTTTTTGTGTCAAGTCCATTCTAACATTCTTATTTCCATGATCAGAACGGCATGTGCTGTCATCCAAAAGTCAAGATTGACTATCTTTGCTGTGTGCAAGTGCTTGTCTGTTATCTCGATGATATCTCTGTCATAGCTAAAGAGGTATTCAGTTCACAGAAAATGAAAAGAGAGATCGTGTCGACAAAAATAATCATCTGAAACAGCTGAACATTTTTAAACACTAGGAATAGTTTTATGGAGGGGGAAAGCTCTTATTTCACTTGTTGAGGTGCAAAATGTGTTTTCTTCTATGAGTTTTTTCTGCAAATACAATGGCAAAAACTATTGATATTATCATTAATAGTGCTAGTATTTTGAACCATAGCCGTACTAATTTATTTCTAGTGTGCTCTCACCATTTGGGGTATACGATTTGCCATTATGATCGATCCACAGCCAATCAAACTACTCTATATTGCGATTGGTTGTTCTGGTTCTGCTAACTTGTAATTGGCTGCATTCCTGGCACTACTTTTGGCCCAACCGTCTTGACAATGGAGTGATGCTTTCAAATTCAGATAAGAACTCCGACCACTGAGATATCCCCCCAAAGACAGTTGCCTTTGAAGCTAAGCGTTAACACTCTATTTCTGGGAAGAAGAAAAAAAAGAAATTAGGCCAATTTATTTCTACCAACTCCAAGTCTAAAATAAAACTCCAATTCTCTTGTGTGTGTGCAAGGTCTCTCGGCCTCAAATCAGTGGGTTCGTTCGAAGTTCGCATTTCGAACGGCACTTGAACGCGCCTGCGGAGTTTGATGAGCTCGTGCTCCCGGGCCGTCAAGCCTCCGCCACTACAACAATGAGCGGGAGCCAGCCGGGCCCGGTGCGTTTAGCTCGGAGCGTACTTCAGTGAAACTGCCCGTGATATTCACCACATGTGCTCGGCGGGTGAGTGTCCACGCTGGAAGCGTCACCCGTGACCTCCATTCTCACGTCCCAGGAGGGTGGTTAGGAGGGGGGGCGGGACACCGGGTGTGTGTGTGGGGGGGTGATAGTGATAACTCACTGACCGCTAACGCGAACAGTTATGTGGCCGTTCTCGTTTGGGAAGTGGGAGTGAGCGTCACCGGTGGAGTTTTCCACGCGGGGAGCATCATTAGAGCTATCTTTTGTCTGACGCTCTATCCCCCCCCCCCCCTTCTCCCCTCTATGTTTTGCTTTCAAGAAGTTTCCAAAGCACTGGTTAAATGGAGCTAGAGGACCAATGGTGGAAGGGACAACTGGCTGCAGATATTTACCAGGCGCTGCGATACAAAGTGAGTGCACACAACAAGTGGGACTGAAGTTGAGAAGGAAAAAAAGTTTTAAGAAAATATTTCCTGCTGTCTTATGTGTTCCTGTTTAATTGATAAAGTTTTGCTTTGCAAGTCAGGATGTGTGGAGTTGAGCCCTCACGTGCGAACTGTGGTTTTTTGACAGGAGCTAAAGTTGCCTTCCTACAAAGGTCAGTCCCCTCAGCTCAACCTCAGGCGATACTTCGCTGACCTCATAGCCATCGTCAGCAACCGCTTCCGGCTCTGCCCGGCCGCCAGGCACCTGGCCGTGTACCTGCTGGACCTTTTCATGGACCGCTACGACGTCACCATGCAGCAGCTTCACATGGTCTCCCTGTCTTGTCTCCTCTTGGCCAGTAAGCGGACCGGTTCCCCAGTCCCCCGCACCCGACCGCTTTGTCGCGGGATGTTGCTTTGATGGTTAGATTTTTTCTTTGCTTCCAGGTAAATTCGAGGAGAGGGAGGACCGGGTGCCAAAGCTGGAGACTCTGAACAGCCTGACCTGCATGAGCTCCGTCAACCTGGTGCTGACCAAGCAGGGTTTGCTGCACATGGAGCTGCTCCTGCTGGAAACCTTCCAGTGGAACCTGTACCTCCCAACGGCGGCTCATTTCATCGAATACTATCTGTCCATCGCCGTTCACGAGGCGGATCTGCACGACGGCTGGCCAATGACCAGCCTGGAGAAGACCAAACTCTACATGGCCAAGTATGCGGATTACTTCCTGGAGGTGTCCTTGCAAGGTACATGGCATTTAGCTTTTGGGCTGTATATCTTTCGCACCATACTGTCGTCAAGAACCAATAAAAAAAGAGGGTGGTTAGGTATACGTTAGTCAATAAGGAAAACCAGAAGGCGACGGATTTTTTTTAAGAAGCTACTTTTTCCTATTGTCATGCCAATGTCAGTTACTAACTATAGATGTCTGCGTATTACTTGTGGATTGCAAAGCTTCAACTTGGTTGCTTCACTCAATATGGCCACTGTGTGGTGGAAATGAAGTGAAAAGATGAACATGATGGATGAAAAATGCTCTTTTTCTGACACCCTGGATCCTGTTAGATTGTCAAAAAAAACATTCCTATCGTCTTCTGCAGCACCTTTCTTTGACCCTGCTGGGAGATGGAAACCAGTTCAAGGAGAGGTGGTAGAATCCTTAGGGACTGGAGAAAATGCAAAACACGCCACTAAAGGGATCGTACCACAGTCCCGACAAAAAAAGAAAAAGAAAGACTCCAGATGTTCTTCAAAAGTGATTTCATATAGCTAACCATGTGTGTTCAAGATATGCGTCTGCTTCTTGTTAGTATCAGAGTTTGCTAATTACCAAGGTTATATCGTCTAAAGGAGATGCCAAAGGATGCACATAAGCTCATCTGTTCAGAGAAATCTGCCAATCCTCATCTGAGCTGTAGTTAAGTTCCCACACCCCTAGTTTGTTCCCTCTCTTTAAGTCCCCCCCACTCCTTTGAGTGTTGTCTTTCACTCAAAGATCCCAACTCATAGATTCGGTTTGCTGAATGTGCAGGACACTCGGCAAAGAGATTCCATCCACCCTTCTCGATTTACCAAGTCAGCATAGATGTAGCTCTAAAAGCATGATCTCCAGGATTTTCCCTTTTTCCAACTTACGAGCAGGAAAGTGAAGCTTGATACCCAACTGGCCCAAAAAAAAAAAAAAATTCAAGTTTACATTCTGATGTATAAGTTCGACTTCAGGGTTGTAGGTCTGCCTATGTCACCAGCTACCTAATATTTGCATAAAGCTTGTTAGAAAAGACACGCACACTGATGGAAATGTTGGCAACCCAAAAAGATGTGCTGGATTTTTTTATAAAAAAAAAAAGAAAGAAAGTGAATGTTTTTCTAACCGCTGGCTGTCCTGCCTCTGCTCCTCAGATCACCTGTTTCTGTACTTCGCCCCTTCGATGGTGGCGGCGGCCTGTGTGGCGGCGTCGCGCCTCATCCTCCACCTGTCCCCCACCTGGCCCCCCCGCCTGCAGCGCCTCACGGGCTACTCCTGGGAGAGCCTGGTCCCCTGTGCGGAGAAGCTGCTCGTGTATGTGTCCGCAGAGCGGTTAAATGGAGAGACTTTTTTTCCTTTTTTTCTCAAAATGGTGACTTGTAGTGGTAAAAAAAAAAAAACTCGCAGTGGCACAATCTCAAATGATAAATAATAGCTCATACAGTTCACACGCCACATTGAAGACTTAAAGGGACATTGTGTAGCATTTTAAGTATTTTCTTAGCTAATACGTTTTTTTATCATTATAAATGTGTTCTCATTTGGTGTAAAATGACCTCTGCAATGATCTGACTTCTCCTCATAAGCAAAGAATTTCCTAACTGTATATACATAGGATGGGTAAGTCCAAGGAGGTTTCCACGTCAGACCGCCATTTTGAAAAACTGTAATCGCAGAGAGGGACATGAAGCACTAGTCTACCTGTCTAACTAATCCAGAACGCGTTTTCGTTCAGAAATTTCTTTGCAATTAATTGATTTTTAAATTAATTTAAATTTTAAAAAAAAGTTAAATCACAAACCTCATCATCTCAGAGAAAACTGGATGATGTTGAAGTCATGTTGTCATTACTTGATGCATGGTGGCTACCGTAGCTGCAATACCCATTTGAAAACGGGGGGCACTAGAGAGCACGATTTCTTTTATTACAATGCAAAATACAATTTCACCGTTAGATGGGAGAAAGACAGTGTACCTTAAGTGCTTTTCTGATTTTTTTCATTTTTAAAATTTTAGTAATTTGTATTTTTTCCCTCCCCAGTGCACATGACAGCGACGTTAAAGAGGCCAACAAGCAAAAGGGTCAGCAGCTTTGCCAGCAGCAGGGCCAGCCGGTGTATCACAGCTCGGGCCAGTCGGCCGCTGTGGCCCAGTACCTGCACCTGCCCGGCCTGCCGTACCCCCAGCAGGCCCCGCCGGCCGGCCTGGCCCCCAACCACAGGCCCGCCTCCTACCTCAGCCACCCGGCGCCCGGCGGGCCCCAGTGCGGCAGCGCCCCGGCCATCGCCGCCTCGCTGGATCCAAAGTCCACCATGCCCAGCAGGGCCTACCAAGTCAGCATGCACTACCCCTGCACCGCCCCCTGCTTCGAGCGGTGATCCCAGGGGGGGCGGCCGCACGGTGACCCTGTCTCTCTTGAATGTTTAAGAATATGCCAAAAGTTGGGGTTGGGGGGGTAACAAAAAAAAAAAAAAGAACAAACTTGTTTTTAATTTTGAAGAGACTGGATGAGATCAGTGCAGCACTTTGAAGCTAAATGTGCAATATGCCCACTCTGCTGGGGCTCCCCTGTGCGGAGGCCCCACGCAGGCATTTTTTTTCCAGGAAGTTTAAAGTACCGGGTGTGAACGCCGTCGTTTACGCCCCCGCCTCCGCTGGTCTAGCTACAGAGCAAATGTCTAGTATTTATTTAAGGCAAAGAGAAGTATTAAATGCCCCAATAGGTTGGCACCCGATCCATTGTGACTATTGCTAATGCTCAGTTAAGAAGGCAGCAACAAGGATTTATGTCAGTTTGTGGTTGAAGACTTTGTGGAGGTGTTGTTGTTTTTGTTTTTTTTTGTTTCAGTGATTATGTTTTTGTTTTTTATTATTGTTATTATTTGGACAAATGTCTTTTGAGAAAGAGAGAGTGTACCCCTCTAGATGTTGCAGTGTACAGTAATAGCAGGGGAAATGACTGCTGCTCTGTACAAAGAGAATATCTGTCTGTGCTGTCCACCTCTATTGTTGTTTTAAATAAAATACAAACCTGTGTTACTGAATTTGTGGCTCTAGCTCTGGAGATTTGCGTGTGCCTATTATGACTTTTAAACCCCAGAAAAAGTCCTTGAATTGTGGGAAACTGTGCTGTTTACACAAATGTAAAAAGTCTGAACCCTCAGTTTTCTATCCTTATCAACTAAACTTGGTCTTAAGATATTGTGCTTGCACTATTTGGAACTCCATTTCATCCTGCTCTCCGATTTGAATTTGCTGTTGAGTAAATCAGAACCTACTCTTGACCACCATGACATGGGAAAAAAAAAATTATTTTCATGTAAGTTGAGTGATTATTGTTGTATATCCCCACAATGTAAACATGTCCAACAGTTTATTAACTAGAATCATTAGATGAAAATAGCACAACTAAAAGAGTTATTCTCTCTCCCTGCTGCCCCTGATGCTCACAGATTTTGATCTGTACTCAGATGGGATTTTTTCTAAGTTTTGCTGACCTCTCCAGGACGTCCCACGTAACTTTTACCCATGTCATACCTCGTGTTCTGTAGGGAATTCTACTTTTACAAAACAATACCGATGGGATGTAGGTGTTTGCATATAAATCTTGCCATCCAGGGACTTCCTGTTGATGCTTTTACAGAAAGAGGCCATTGAAAAACTAAGAAAGAAATCTGTGCGGTACTTGCTTTCAAAATTCACAGAAACATTGGGGCTTCTTTTTAAGCCAATAACTCAATATCGAATAAAGGTGCCATTCAAAATCAATCTGTACCACAAACTGCACTGTCAAATAAAATATTTATACTGACTGGCTTTTTCAAAAAAAGTACGCCAGTGTTCTGTTGTGAAGTTATATCAATGAAACAAAACCAATTTTCTTTTACCCTTTTCTTTCAGGTAGGTCCTTCATTGTAGGGCATCCTCCAGCTGAGGGAGTCATCGAGCTGTGCAGGATCATGGATGAAGATCACGGCCTCTGAGGATGACCAGTATGTCTCTTTGGGTGGTGTGAACATGGAGACTGTTCCTGTTTTTATCAATCCAGCCACTGAAACAGATTATAGTTCTGACTGTTCAGACAATATTATTGTTGTTTTTTTACTGTATTGGTGATGCAGTTTATTATTCGAGGAAAAAAAGGGGGGAAGATAAGCCTAATATACCACACACCTATGACTCCTTCCACACACCAGCCAGCGCTGGAAACAGAGCAGCTGGAGGCGACAAATGAAAAAGAAAAGTGCTCATTTGACTGGATAGCGTATTTCAAACAGACTCGGATCATCTGCTGTGCCAGCTGGATGGACTACTAACTAGCACCTCTGAGCTGGTGATCCTGTGGTTCAGACGCTCATTTTGGCTGGAAAGTGGCTGGAAACCATCTCACAACCGTCTATCATCTATTGCTCTGGGAACAAACATAGCAGAGCTAAAAGCTGCAACTGTCACCAGTTGCAGTAGAAGTCGTCTTACCTCAAACAACAAATCAATTCCAAGCTCTCCTTCATTAAATAGATATTTCGCCTGTGTGGGGTATAATGAACAGGTATAACTAGTAAAACGATAGAATGCTATTCTTCCACTTAGTGTTTAGTTTGTCTTGTATATTATAACCAGAGGGGAAAGAGAAATCATTATTTTTCCTGATTTCAGGACTGTGTTACCCTTTAGAATCACTTTGAAACATGAGCTCCTCTTCAAAGCATCCAGTACGACTGGCTTGAAAATGGTTTATACCATACTTTACCATAGCATTAAGCAAAGAGTAACAAGCTTGTAGAGCCCTTTGTTTCTCTACGAAGTGATCTATGGTGTTGCCTTTTCTTTTGGTTGGTGTTATGGCTGTGAAGGTATCTTCCATTTGGCTATATCAGATAACATCTGATGCATTTGAATACTTTAAAATTGCAGATTTCTTTAACCGTCAACAGGTGTCACCATAGAACCGAAATAAACCAACTGCCGGGCGTCTTTACAGACAGGCAGAAGTCCAACAAGTGCCAAAACTATCCAGTTGATTTAAACTGGACTAATTTATAAAGAACTGTAACAGGAAGACACTCATTCACAGATGCTACCAAACCGACAAATCTTTAACTCTTCTCTCTTTTGTTAGTTTTGCAACATAATGTGAATTATATTTGATGTAGATCTAACTTTTTATGTTATGTATGACACAATGTATGTAAAGCAAACTACACAACATTTAAATATCAGTTCTTTGAGCTTGTTTGCATTTGTTTGAATTTTAGATGTTGATGTAAAGCAGTGCTGTGACAGTGAGAGCAGAGAGACTTAACGGACTTCATTTTAATCTCTCTCCGTGGTCACGTTATATGCAAAACACGGTGAGCAAACCGTTCACTCATGAAATGAAAGTGTCCTTACGCTGTGCTCGTCATGGTCCGTGGGTTTCATTATGTTCCCGGTTCTGCTTTGGTCATTCTGATTTCTATGTTCTCTATGCTAGGCTTGGTTACGTTTCTATTGGTTTTTATGAAGTTTTTATGAAGTGTTTTTCTTATTCCTCGACCTTTTGGTCAAGGAATAAGGGGGCCGTTGGAGCTGTGGAAGTTAATATTGTGTGTCACACTGGGGATGTGCTGCAGTGAAATAAGGGACAGAGGGTAAAAACCTAAAAAGGAAATTTGCTACACGTGATGGATTTTAAGACAGTGGAATGATGGGGATGTGGACGTGACAATGAATGAACAGTGTGTGGGCAGAGGATGAAAATTCTTCCTGTCTCTGTTGCCAGATTAAGGACAAAATTCAAATTGTGGGAAAGGCAACTGGTCATTATGCAACAGGAGGAAACTAGAGCTAGTATCATCAAGTCAAGATGGAGTAAGAATGTCACATGAGGTGCATAGATGGTTATCATATTCATTCTAATTTTATGTACAGTCTGTTCCAAATGCCAAATAGGTAAAACAGAGCGGGCGGGTGCCGTGCTACTTTTATTAACGTGAGTAGGTGGTAGTGGAGGTTTGGTGAAAAGTTCCAGTAAGACAAGTGAGAGAAGGAGGACAGCAAAAGTATTCATATCAATGGGCAGATTGTAGAGGGCATGTTTAAAAGACTAATGTAATGGAAATGACTGCAGGGAAAGAATCAATACTGTAATTTACAATGTTATCAAACTAGATACCCCCAATTATGTGACCGGGTAGAATATCAACTTTAGAAAGAGATCATCAAAGTCTTTAAAGTAAACATGAATAGCCTGTCTACAGTTAATGAACAAAGGGGGAAGTGGGTACTTAGTAGACCCTGCAAAACCAGAAAGGTGTCTGCATTCTTCATGCCTCTGCATGATTTTTTTTTAATCCTCTTTTTACAACTTAAGTCACCTTCTTTTGTATTTCCACTTGTAAATCAAGCGACAATTATAACTTGAAATGTACTGAGGATAGTATGTAAACACAGTGGTTTTCTTGGCTTTTGGGGAAAGACTGGGAAGCTAAATAGTCAATATTTGCTCTGCTGTACACCGCTGGCTCTTCTCTCTTACATCTGACATGATCTGTAGCCTGTCAGCCCTTTACCATCTAAACCCCACGTCGACTTGTCCTCCGGCCACTTTAACTTTAGTTTGTTCGCCTTTGGATTGTTATTCTCGAAAGGAAACCCCAAGGGGTCTGAAGTCGCTCCGGTCCAAGTGGGTTCCTGTTTGAAAAACAATGTGGTCGGGCCTGACGGAAAATTTTGAAGCAGGCCTCATATGCATTCCTGGTTTCATCGTGGCAGAACGTGGCAGAGCTGTATTAATAGCATTTCCTATGTGGGGCTGCAAGCTAACGAAGGCTTCCTGTGGAGGAGGAAGCAGAGTGTTGAAGCTGGCGATGAGGAGTCTTCTCGCCCCCCCCCCCCCCCCCCCCCCCCCCTCCTGTCTGTACATTTACTCTAAGACAGCCAAACCAGTAGGTGGCTAAGATTCTTAACCATCCAGCAAGTCCTACCACTCCACTTTATATTATTTTTTGACTCCATATCCTCCTGTAGTCAGGATGTAGTCTTGCAAACTTTTGTATGTAATTTGTATTGTCTTTATACATCCGTGGTAAAGGTGAGGCAAGGCAAACCAAAGCAGGGATGGAGGAGTTAAAGTCAGGCCGGACAAGTTGGGGCTTTTTTCAAAATAGGACGCCGGATGAGTTTCAACTGAAATAAGTACAATCCATGAAAACGTTCCTTGGGAAAATACCACAAGCTGCCTGTGTGCAAACTGACTGAATCCCTGCACAGCGAGATTGAGCCACTTGTTTTCCACATGTGAGAAACGTTTCACGCTGCTGATCTATGCCAGCTCTCGGTGCAGGAGGCAGATGTCACACAGATTTTCGAGCTAAAGGAGAGAGAAGGAAGCCGTCACAGTTACTGAAACCTTATGGTCAAATGCACACGGCAAAAATCGGGAAACATATGGGGTATTTTCCTCTCATAAATTCAAGAATTATTGGTAACTTGAACTCATGCATTGAGCCAAATAAAGCTTAATTAGAAAATAACCGACATTGTGCCAAGGACTAGTTTTTTCTTTAGGTTTATTTCAACCTAAAGCAATTTACTTGCAGATGGTACAAGTCTCACCACAAAGGCAAAGACATTTTGAGAGCATATTTCATAGAAAATGTTTTGCCAATCCGTATCTGTATTCATGAGGACAATCATATGCACCCAAATTTAAAACCTAAAATCTTCTTTGTTGTAATCATCCAAAAACACCATCTATGACTCGTGTCCAAACATTTTCCCTTTTTCTATGAACTTGTTTTTTAATGATACTTACTTTACTAAGTGTGATAAGAGTATGACTCAAAAGAAAAAGAAGCTAGTCCTATTAGTCAGATGCCTAAAAAAAATACAACATTAATCAGCAATGATAAGACGCAGTTGTTGCTAAGGAAAGACAAATTTGCTCAATTTGCATCGAGAACCTGGGAACAAATGGCATGAGGAAATATTTAAGCGTGGGGAATGTTTGGGAAGTCCTGTTTTCTAAATGAAAAGCAGTCCTCACACAGGCCGGCCTTCTCCCGTTGGTTCTGATTGGAGGAGAATGACTTACATTTATGACACCTGAATTCCTTCTCCTGGAAGCCATTCGTTCGTAAAGTTGCTCAGCCCTTACTGGTGTCACGTAAAGTGTCCAGAAAGAGTCAAGAGCGTGTTTCACATCAGTTCTGGTAACCATCCATCCGAATTAGACTGAAGGATGCATGTCACGAAGGAAGATGGGTCCATATCTTCAGTTTTAGGATATTGTATGAGGAATTTCTGCCACAGTGAATGATCTTACTTATTGGAAGGAAGGAAAGATGGACATGATTGTGAAAAAGTTGTGAAATAACATCAAGTCCTTGTAACTTGCTTTTTTTGTTGTTGTTGTTAGATTGTTTTCTTTTATCTGTGTTGAACGCTCAAGAGCTGTTACGTCATCTAGAAAGGGACACTCATTCACATAGTCAAGTACTAACTTGTTAAGGTAGTTTGTGAAGGGGACTGTTGACATCTTATCATCTGTATTTCTTTAGCTGAAGTGAAAGCATATGTAAAGAATGGATTAATTTAACAATTTCATTTCAGCTTTTTTATTTTTGTTTTTATACATATGACCAAAAGATTGACATCTGTATAAAACCAGCCAGTTAGGGTAAATCAAAGACCATTATAAGTCATCCCAATAGCATTCAGTCCCGTAAAAAGAGATAAATGTCATCCAGACGCATGCTGTAATAACCCAAACTGCTCTACTGTGAGCTTATTTTAGCTGTTGCATAACAATGTTTCATAACCGTGACTCCCAAAACATTGCTGCTCAATATGTGGTACAATATTTTCAAATTCTTTGCAGCAACTCCGCATGAGGATATTTTCAACAACGTAAAGACTTTACATAACATGCGACAGTGTCATCATCATTTTGAAACACATGCATGCTGTAGATGTACATGGTTTTAGCTCTGATTCTCTCATTCTCATTTTCTATGTGGGTGTTATTTTCATTGCTTCAAAAATTGTTTGTTGAACCTCTTACTAGACCTGAATCTTTTGTGTTCAGCGGCTACAATCAAGAGCATGTTGCTTTATATCAACTCACTTCAAAAGCTCCAAATTGTCAGACTCGTTGAGATTTTTTTAAAACACAGTTTGGATATCTTTTAGACAGAAATAGATGTTGTAGGATCTGTCAGTCCCCAACTATGAGTGACTCAAAAAGTCTAACTTCCTTTTTCTAGTCCCTTTGCTACAATGAGAAAAAACAGAAAATCATACACAGCCACTATGGAAACAAATGGTTGTTCCAACTCCCTTAGTGTTTCTCCTCTAGTCTCAAGAACAAATGATTCTCTGGAGGGATAAAAGGACTTTAATGAACTGTGACGATCTTATGAATGAAGTATCACTGGCAATATGTAGCTGCAGCCAGTGTTGTTCTTTGTCCAAATGTAGCAATACAGTTCCATAACATTATCTACATGTTTGCCCAGTTTGTTAATCCTAGTTAATACCACACTAAGCATGATTAACCTTTCCTGAATGCCACTTGACACAATTTAGAGTTGACCACGACCCAAAGCCGATGTACTTGATTTTATTTCCTGCTAGAAACCAGAGATAACACATTTTCATAATGAAAAGTAATCAATATTATTTTCAGGACCAAGGTCAGCTCACAGTTTGGGTGCTATGTAAACTAAAAGCCAACCTATCAAATGTAAAAACAGGTGCAAAATGTCCTCAAGGGGTTCATATTTATCAGTCTGTGTTAATTTCATACAATCCCCCAGAGACAATTTATTATTTGATAGACAGTAACATAAAAAATGAATAAAATGTGAAAAAAAAGTTTTTGGATGTCTTTGTATTAAATTAAATAGTGTTAAAAAATATTGTTATGTCAAGCGCAACTGTGAATTTAACGCAGGCAAGAAAAAAATTGTAAACTGGCCCTTTTCATCTCTGTTCGTTTCCCCTTTTAACGCGCATTTTGATTGGTTCTCCCACACGCTTGTAGCCAATCAGCCTCCCCCTGCTATGGAGGAAGGAATAAATGCAAGATGGCTCCTCATATAAAAACAGTCTTCTGGGTCGGCCTCGTCGCGCAACAAAATAACTCTTTAATACTTATAAGGTTGAAATATTTATCTGCCAGCAGTTCCGAAGGGTAAACCGGGCTATAGACTAGCGGCTTTTGGTGATATTTGGAGGGAGGCGATGGCAGAGGGAGCGCAGGTACTACTTTAGAGACATGAATTGGTTGTGAGCTCGCTGTCTTCGGTAGACAAGAGTTGGGCTGGTCTGAAGCACACAGCCCGGCCGGGCCTCAGCTAGCTAGCGGTAGCCGCTAACTAGCTAATGACTTCGCCTACTATTTTTCTGTCGCTTTGGAAACGTCCCCCCGCATAAGAAGAAATACACCAAGGTGCTGACTACATGTTGAATGTGGGACTCGGAAGTTCCATAAACAACTGACCATGGCTGTATCAAGGTAAGCCGGTCCAACACTGAGTCTGCTCTGTATGCCCGACTTTCGCTCACAGTTAGCTGGTTGATTTGCTAATACCAGCTAGCCATCATTTGGCCGACAATAGCGTGGACATGGCCCACTTAAGTTAGAATTGAAGCCGGGTGTAAACTGTCACTCCAACATACATTTAATCTTCAGAGTGACTGTTTTATTTGGAGCGTTGGATTTGGGTCCTCTGCTGACCCCCATGTTGTTAAGTACTAGTTAGTTAACGTGGCTGAGAACCTGAGTCTGGAAACCGACTTGGAATAGGCTTTCTACCTGTTGGGATTATCATGTGTCATTGTTGAACACAAACTCGTACACTGGGTTATGAGACAGTTTTTGTCAGTGCAACTGTAAATCCATGAAATGTGAAAGAAACCGTTTCCATCCTGTCTATGAAGATGATGACAGTGATGATGGCATCACTGTCAAAATCAGCAACTCTCCAAACTTGTTCTGATTTGGTCTTGACTCTTATGCTTAAGCCTTGTAAAAATCTAAGATTGTGAGGCACTTCAGCTTCTTTATGTCCAAATGTTTGTACGTTATGATATGCTGAGTCTCGAGTACTACCATAAACTTTCTGACACGGTTCTAACAACCACCTGTATATTTTTTTCTTTATTTATTTGACTCCTTCTCAGACTTGACCGCTTGTTTATCCTGCTCGACACGGGAACAACACCAGTGACCAGAAAAGCAGCCGCCCAGCAGCTTGGAGAAGTAGTCAAGCTTCACCCACATGAACTCAATAACCTCTTATCAAAGGTCTGTTTTCTTTTTCTCTTTTTTCCTTTTTAATACATTGGTTTCCTAACATTATTTCACAAGCACCTTGTAATATCAACTTTGGATATGCTATGCTGTCCTGTGTCACGTACTGAATTTTAACATGTGATAGTAAAAATAATGTCACAATTTAAGTCTCCATGGCAGTTGGAAGAGTTTTCCAGCCAATCAATTTGTTCATAGACAAGTCTCTTTTTCTTTTTCTTTTGGCTAGTGTATAAGACTTTATTCCCTGCCTTTTGTTGGCACTAAACAAAATTAAAATTTTCGTCTAATCAAAAGGTTTTGACCTATTTACGGAGTCCCAACTGGGACACTCGAATCGCCTCAGGCCAAGCCGTAGAGGCCATCGTGAAAAATATTCCTGAGTGGAACCCGGTCCCAAAGCCTAAAGAAGGTGAGCTTTTTAGGATAAAGTACATTTGCTAATTTGGTGTGTTGTGGGTGACTTTTGTTTCATCCCGTGGTGTGATCTAAACTGGAGAAACAAAAGCCTGTTTCTGAGTCTCCTTTGCTTCCCGTAGAATCTTGTGAAGATCTGTCCCCAGAGGACTCGTCCTGTGATCGGTTGAATTTCTACCACTTTGACATCTCTCGTCTGCTCCGACATGGAGCGTCTCTATTGGGCTCGGCAGGAGCCGAGTTTGAGCTGCAGGATGACAAAACTGGTTTGTACTGAACCTTTATTACTTTTTATTTTTTTATTTTTTTATCCCCTAGTGTTTCCATTTCCCTCCTGCTTGTTTTTTGCTCTCTACATGTTGGCACTTGTCTGTTTTTTTTTCCCCAGCTATTCCTTGAAAAAAAGGCATTTGTTGTGCCTTTTTAAAAAAAAATTAATAAATAAAGAATAAAATAATTATTTGAATAAAGGGAGTTTCCCTTATCCTACAAAAAAAACATGGCTTTATGTCATACTCTGTATTCTGCTGAGCTGGTCGTTTTGCTTCTCTATGATCTCTTGACATTCAGTTATACTGAGACACTGACACCTCATGAAATTATTTCTAAATGTATTTGTGGTTTCAGCTCTTTTGTTTTCTTTTTTTCTTTTTTAAATCTCCCTCCTACCAGCACCTAGATCCAGCATTACTCACCACTGTTCCAACAGCTCCATTACCATGTACTCTTTAAACATTTCATCCCACTATCTGGAACACAAATAAAAAATCAATTTTGCTTCTTTAAACTTGTGTTCAGGAGAGATGGACCCCAAGGAACGTCTCGCCCGCCAGAGGAAGCTTCTCCAGAAGAAGCTGGGCCTGGACATGGGCGCTGCTATTGGAATGGACACCGAGGAGCTGTTCAACGACGACGACCTGGATTATTCCTGCCAGTCCAGCGGGCTCAGAGCCCAGGGAGCCAAAGTCACAGCCGGCTCCAGCTCCCGCAACCACGTGGTGGGGACTTAATTAATTCATTGTTTTCTTTTTGCTTTAGATGATTCATTTATCTTTTTTACCGTGCATTTTAGATTTTTTACTTGAATGGTTTAGAAAAGAATAAAAAAAAAAAGGCCCTCAAAAGTGTTGCAGAAAACCGAAGAAGGCCTCCTCTGTTGTTTTATTTTAAAACGTTCTGCTGCAGCTTCTGTTTCACAACCTGTTGCATCTGCCAGTTGAAATGTCCTCTTCTTCTGAGAATGTGGGTTTCACATAAATTCCGGTGCCTCAACTCCATATCGGAGAGCTTTTTTTCTTCCTTTTTTTACTAGAGGCAAAATAAGAGAAGAAACTGCAAGTGTCGTCCTCTGGCACTTTTGTTATTATTCTGTTTTCACATCCAATATTTGAAAGCAATAGGACTTCTTGCAGAGTGACCTGCCTCTTCAGTTTAAACCTTTGCATAAAGGTTGCTCAAACATATTTAACTGTAAAGTAAGTAAAAGGGGAATGGATGTAGCAACCTTTTGAGCCCTTGATGCTGACCGTCTCTGCTCGCTCCACATCCAGAGGGAGCAGATTTGACCGATTGGGTCTTGTGACACTCTACTTTGCCCCAGCCTGCTGGTCATGCAGCAAAATGGAGGCCACAGAGAAAAGCTCCGCAGGCTGGAGTGAGAACGGCCGGCTCTGCTGCGTTGGATGTGACTGGATTCATGCTGTGTTGGTTTATACCTGCTGCAACTGGAACAGGCTTTTTCCTTTCCCTTTTTTTTCCTTCAGCATTTCTCTTGTGTGGTTTGATTTTCCTATTTAAACTAATGTGCCCTTGTTAAATAAATGCATGGAGCGTCATGCACCTAATACTTTTCTATGTATTCCACAACCTTTTAAACTTTATAGTGAACACAGTCATTTTGATAATTTTTTCAAATTGATTTATTTGCCTTCAGACCATTCAAGCTGCTGAATTGATCGACACAGAATTCCGGCCAGGAATGAGCAGCCGTCAAAAGAATAAAGCAAAGAGGATGGCTAAATTGGTGGCAAAGCAAAGATCCAGGGATGTGGATTCTAATGAGAAGAGGTAGGATTGTGCACGGAAACACGTTGCATCGTATAGAATGATTGTTTGGCAACCCTTTAGAGAAAAAAAAAAAAAAACTCATACCCAAAGTCGGGGAGAAAAAACACAAAAACTGACTGCTTTTTGTCCATAAATCTCCAGCAATGACAGTTTCGAAGGGGAACCCGAGGAGAAAAGAAGGAAAACCACCAACATCGTCATCGACCAGCCAGCCACCGAGCACAAAGTCTTAATCGACAACGTTCCAGATAATTCCGGCCTTTTAGAGGAGGTGAGGAGGCGCAAAGCGACGGGGCAAATACTCGGGCTTAAGAGCCCCGGGCTGATCAAAGCACTCTGGTGCCACTGAATGGTCTCTTTGCTCTGGCTTTAGATGCACGAGTGGCCTCTGGAAAGCTTCTGTGAAGAGCTCTGCAATGACCTCTTCAACCCATCATGGGAGGTATTTAAAAGAAATAATTTAAGCGTTTTTCCTAATTTGAGCAGACACTACGTCTCGTGAGCCGATTTTGGAGTCTTGGTAGAAGCGACGCTTGTAAACTTACAAATGCGACTGTTTAGATCCGCCACGGCGCAGGCACGGGGCTGAGAGAGATCCTGAAGTCGCACGGTGCCAGTGGCGGGAAGCTGCCTGGAAGCACGGCCGAGCAGGTACGTCCTCAGCCCAACGGCCGCGCCTGGGCCGCGCTCTGGGGCCGCACACGTGTGACCCAAGGCTGTGTCCTGGTGTTTTGCTCCAGATGAGGCGGCAGCATCAGGAGTGGATCGAGGACCTGGTCATCCGCCTCCTCTGCGTCTTCGCACTGGACCGCTTTGGGGATTTCGTGTCCGACGAGGTGGGAACATTTCCCCAGTGGGGCATCTTGGCACGCGAGCCCGGCTCACCGTTTCTTCTCGCCAACCCCCCCCCTCCCTGCAGGTGGTGGCCCCCGTCAGGGAGACGTGCGCCCAGACCCTCGGCGTGGCGCTGCGCCACATGAGCGACGCCGGCGTTTCCATGACGGTGGACGTCCTGCTGAAGCTGTTAAAAGAAGACCAGTGGGAGGTCCGCCATGGGGGGCTGCTGGGAATCAAGTACGCCCTGGCCGTCCGTCAGGTACTGCGGTTTCCAGATATATATATATTTATTTCATTTTATTATTTTTTTGGCGGATAACAGCGTTCAGGTGGCAGCACATGGCTGTTTCTGATCCTGTATTTGTACGCTTCCTCGTGCCTCAGGACCTGATAGCCGTCCTGCTGCCCCGGGTGCTGCCAGCCATTTCCGAGGGCTTGCAGGACCTAGATGACGACGTGAGGGCCGTGGCAGCATCGGCGCTCATCCCCGTGGTGGACGGCTTGGTGCAGCTCCTTCCCAGCAAGGTGAGGACTTCCTCTAACCACGGGTGAACTAGCCAATACCGCCACCTTCTGGCAATGCCGTGCAGCTAAAGCGTTTGTCTCAAGGCAGAACTTTTGACTGATTTTTTCTTTTCTTTTTTCCCTTTTTGTTTTCTTCTTTCACTTTTAAAGATTTTCTTTGCTTATGAATGGCAACCTTGCTTGTTTTGTTCATTTGCATACATGCCGGCATTCCCTCTGGATGCTTTCACTTAGCTGGTGAATGTTGATGTCTCTTAGGTTCCCTTCATAGTAAACACACTCTGGGATGCCCTCCTGGACCTGGATGACCTCACCGCCTCCACCAACAGCATCATGACCCTGCTGTCCCTGCTGCTCACCTACCCACAGGTCCGCCAGTGCAGGTGAGTCCCCGGGCGTCTCTGGCAAATTGAAAGATCCAAAGTTGAGATGAAGGCCGCCGATTGGTTTACTAGTCCTCGTTGGCTTACTGGAATCATGCCATCTTTAACTGCGTAAAATGTTTAGATGAATGGTTTGTTCTACTATGACGAATCCTGGCAATTATGTGATATTTTTCAGGCATGCACACTTAAATGCTAACAGTCTGCATGTATGGGTATTATCTTTGTACCAAAAACTGTATTCCATCAATTTGAGCTTATGCATCCGGTTAAAGGACAAGTTCTTAATCAAATTGACAGTGATTTTGAGAGACCACCTCTCTCCTAATTATACTGGCTGGCTCTCTTCCTCCAGCATGCAGCAGTCTCTCACTGTCCTGGTTCCTCGCGTTTGGCCCTTCTTGCGACACACAATATCCTCAGTAAGAAAGGCGGCGCTGGAAACTCTGTACACACTGCTGTCCAAAGCCGACCAGGTAAAAATACCACCCCGAGCTGCTGGCTTTTGTCTGAAATGACAGCAGTGTATTTCTACAGACCACAAACTGTGAGTGGAGTCGAAAATGTTCCTTATTTTTTCTTCCCCAGACTTGTGCAGTCTGGTTAAATCCCATCTTGCAGGACATGCTGCGGCACATCTTTCAGTCCTGCATCTTGGAGAGCCACGAGGAAATCCTCGACCTCATACAAAAGGTTAGTCGAATAACCCACTTCAAAAACAAAAGAAAACAAAAACATTTAATCTGGTTTTACATTCGGTTGCTTAGTCTTGTCGTCGTGTGTGCGTTGGCAGGTGTGGATGGAGCTGCTGTCCCGAGCCCCGCAGCAGTTCGTGGTCGCAGCCAGCTGCCCGTGGATGGGCGCCTGGCTGTGCCTGATGATGCAGGCCTCTCATATTCCCATAGACCTGAACATGCTGCTGGAGGTCAAGGCCCGCTCCAAGGTAGTGCGCCCTTCTATCTACATCACGACCAAATTAATATATTCATATAGAGCGAGGGATAGATTCTTACTGATATTTATATGTTGAATGAGCAGGATAAGGCTGGGACCAAAGCCCGCCAGGGGTTGAGTCAAGTGAAGGAGACCGTTCAGGAGTACATAGCTGGTGCCGAGACCGTGACGGACGACCCGGTGACGAGGGACTACGTGGTGGTCCGAGCCCGACTCATGGCTGCCAAGTCGGTTCTTTTTAAATCTCCCGACTCCTAACATTTAAAAAAATATATATATATGTTTTAGTCAATGCTCAAATAGCAACTGATTGCTGATGTTGTAAATCTCTCAGATTGCTGGGGGCTCTTTGTCGGTGCATCTGTGACCCTCAGCTCAACGCATCATCCCAAGAGATCCGGCCGGCCGAGTCTCTGGGCCAGCTGCTGCTCTTCCACCTCAACTCCAAGTCGGCCCTGCAGCGCATCGCCGTGTCGCTGGTGCTCTGCGAGTGGGCCGCCCTGCACAATGTGAGGCTCGGCTCCGATTCGCTGGACCAGATATTGAGTAGATGCCGGCAGAGAGGCTAAGTTTCCTCTTCCTCCCTCTCAGGACTGCCAGGTGGTGTCCACCATGGTGCAGCCCCGTCTCCTGGCCATCCTGACCGAGCAGCTGTACTACGACGAGATCGCCATCCCCTTCACGCGCATGCAGAACGAGTGCAAGCAGCTCATGGCGCTGCTCGCCGAGAACCAGGTCGACCTCCAGGACCGCCTCAACTGCAGCGTTCTCACCATTGACCAAGCCAACGACTTGGTAAATCCACACACTGGGCTGTCTATATTGTCTATCCAAACTGTTCTCGCGCCCCCGGCTGCTGATTTTTGTGGTCACCTCTGACAGCTTTGGTGATCTTAACGCCATGTCGGCCCTGTAGGTGACCACCATCTTTACCGAGTCGACGGCGAGCCTGAACGTGAAGTCCAAGCAGTGGCTGGCGCTGGAGAGCAAACGGCAGCAGGCCCAGGCCACGGTGATGGAGACCAACGCGGAGTGGCAGGAGCTGCACCTGCGCGTGCACATGTTCACAGCCTGCGCGGTCATCAACCAGCACGCGCTCCCCGACAAGCTCAACCCCCTGGTCAGGCCTCTGATGGAGGCCGTCAAAAGAGAGGAGAACACCTTGATCCAAGGCTACGCCGCCTCATTCATAGCCAAGCTGCTGCAGGCCTGCTCCGGCCGCTCGCCCTGCCCCAACCCCAAGATCATCAAAAACCTGTGCGCCTCGGCCTGCGTGGACTCTGCGGCCACGCCCTCATCCGGCTGTCCCGTGCCCCCGACGCAAGACGATTCCAAAGGTACCAGTTCCAATAGAATCACTTAGGTTTTGTATTTTCTGTGTCTTGTAAGACCAGTTTCCTGCAAGGATTCCGGCTTGAGTTTTGTTGTTGCGTGGTTACTGAAAGGCAAAAACAATAAAAATGTTATGCCTGCTCCAGGGGGTGGGTTGGAGAAAGACGGCACGCATCACGTGGTCAACAAAACCCGAGGCATCATCACCCTGTACCGTCACCAAAGGGCGGCGTTCGCCATCACCAGCAAGAGAGGCCCCGCCCCAAAGGCCCCTAAGAACCACACGACGGAGCTCCCCCCCGGCAGCATCGGCACCGATAATGACGAGGTCACCCACTCCCCTAAATCCATTTAACTCGCAGTGTGGTTACAAAATGTTTAAAAGAAATGTAAACTTGTTTTATGTCCCTCTAAAGAGCAAGAAGCCGTTCCTCATTCAAAGGCGAGGCGCCGATTTCTGCTTAACCACCATCGCCAGGCACTTCGGCACCAACCTCACCACAAGTCTTCCGTATCTGTGGGAGAACACGGTGGGACCCCTGAGGGCGGTGGCCACAGAAAATCAGAGCATCGGTATGTGTATTTTTGTTTTTAAGGGTTTAAGTTTGTCTAGCAATTCCTCAGAAGACACTTAAGAAGTCAGCTCTTAATTGACTTCCCTCTCCTATTTGTTTTAGACAGGCCGGCCCAGCTGGAGAGGGGCGACGCAGCAGCTCAGGATTTGGTCAATTCTCTGCAAGTGTTGGAGATCATGGCTGGAGCCATGGCGGCCGAGCTCAGACCTTTGGTAAGGCTGATCTCTATGGTTCTCTCCGACTCCAAACCGGACGCCGTAATTCAGTTTTAAGGCCAACGGAGCCGTGATTGTCCTCGGTAGTTCTCAAAGGCTTCTTACAGCTTCCCCTGTGCGTTTCCCCCCCCAGCTGTTGGAGCACCTACCTCATCTGTTCTCCTGCCTGCATCACCCGTACACAGCGGTGCGGCACATGGCGGCGCGCTGTGTGGGCGTGCTCAGTAAGATAGCCACGCTGGAGACCATGAGCAGCTTTCTTGAGTGCGTTCTCCCCTGGTTAGCTGCCATCGAGGACTGCACCAAGCAGGAGGGCGCCATCGAGGCTTTGGCCTGTATCCTTTTCCCTTTTTAAAGCTTTAAAAATTCACAACGGATGACGGGAAACACGATCAATAAGGAAGGCCGTGCAGAGGTCTTGCATCTCGGGCTTAATGGGCTCTTTCTCCGCTCGGCTATGTGACCAACCGGCTTTGAATGACATTAGTAGCCCCAATGCGTCGATACAAAAGTACTTTCCTCGCTTTGCTTTTGTTGACTCGTTACTATTGTGGGACTCAAAACATAATGATTAAAATGAGCATTCACGGAAAAGGAGTGAGGTTCTAGAATAAGTGGTGCGTTGCCAGTCGAGTCGGGGTTCTCTGGAAGGTCTGGAGCGATGCTGGGTCTGCCGTCTGTGTGATTTATGGCCCCTAACCGGCAGCCCCGCAGGCATCATGGAGCAGCTGGACGTTGACATCGTGCCCTACATCGTGCTGCTGGTGGTTCCGGTTCTGGGCCGCATGAGCGACCCCAGCGACAGCATCCGCTTCATGGCCACCCAGTGCTTTGCCACCCTGATCCGCCTGCTGCCCCTGGAGGTACGAGCACTCAGGACGCCCCCTCGTTTTATTTGCCCCTTTGACCTGTGCTTTATTTTAATTTTTAAAGTTTTATCCTTCACAGTACAAAACTTTTTTAAAAAACTTTTTTTTTTTTTTTTAAACAGGCAGGCATACCGGACCCCCCCGCCATGTCTGCCGACCTGATTCGTCAGAAAGCCAGGGAACGCACCTTTCTGGAGCAGCTGCTAGATGGCAGAAAGCTGGAGAACTATAAGATCCCCGTGCCGATTAAAGCTGAGCTCAGGAAGTACCAGCAGGTGTGTGTGTGTGTGTGTGTGTGTGTGTGTGTGTGTGTGTGTAGCAGATGGAGGACCAACCAATCTGCTCCACACATTGGGTCGAACTCTGGAACACTTGGGTCATTTGTAGCTCCATCTGACACAAATTTGGTGTTTTTTTTCTGTTTTTTCTTTCCAAGCTATTCATCTGCTGGTTATTGATTTAAGTGATTGATTTGTAACACCTGCCCTGATAAGTAATACCCGGATGCTTGCGTGTCGTGCTCTGCAGGACGGGGTGAACTGGCTGTCCTTCCTGAACAAATACAAGCTGCACGGGATCCTGTGTGACGACATGGGGCTGGGCAAGACTCTGCAGTCTATCTGCATCCTGGCAGGAGACCACTACCTCAGGTACAGAGTCCAGACAGCCCCTTGACCAGCGTGTGAGACCTAGAACCAGCCTCATGCACCCACCTTTTCCTGTAAAACGTGCAAATGACTTGAGGTCAAGCAGCAAAACATGATTCTGATCAGCAGAGACAACGGAGAAACCAGATTACTCTCATCAAAGGACTGAAATACTCCATCATGCTGGAAAATAAGAGAGCATTTGGCATAAATGATGGTATCGCCACACTTTGTGGGTGTTGGGTCATTTTTTTTTTTTTTTCTTTTCTTTTGTTTAAAAAAGAAAAACTCCCAAAACCATAATTGACGTAATTGGGGAGGCCAAAAGTCGACTAGGAAAGACGTCAAACTCTGTACAATATCTGAAAATGGGGGAAGTAAATTGGTAGCTAAAGTTTGTCTGTACTGAGAATAAACTTCTAAAAGAAGTGGCTTTTTTCCCCCAGAAAAGTCAGACATAAGACAATATGAACACCAGGTTTTCTTGGATTGGAAGCAAGTATCTGGGGATGATTCCAACTGGTTTAACATTTCTATTTTTGGGATGAGTAGCTTTTGTCTTTTTAATTCAATTTTTCAGGTTCAATTCAGAAAAATGGCTTCGATTTATTTATTTTTATTAGTATAATTCTTTTAACAAAAAAGGAAGTAATAGAATACAAACCTGACCCTCCTCTTCATGTGTGTCGATTCAATCTTTGCATTTATTTGTTTTAAATTTGGTGGTGTGGGAAAATCCCAGCTTTGGTCCAGGCTTTGACGCTTGTTTTGGGTGTAATCCAGGACGCAAGAGTACGCCAAGACGAAGCACGCCGACTGCAGCCCCCTGCCCTCCCTGGTGGTGTGCCCCCCCACCCTCACGGGCCACTGGGTGGACGAAGTAGGGAAGTTCTGCTCCCGGGAGTACCTGAACCCGCTGCACTACACGGGGCCTCCCACAGAGCGCATGCGGTAAGCTTTGAATCGGTTTGCAGCCAACGCATTGGGCAAAAAGGGGCTTTTCCTCGTGTGCTCGGGTCTCTGACCGGCCGCTGACCTCCTCCAGGCTGCAGCACCAGGTGAAGAAGCACAACCTCATCGTCGCCTCTTACGACGTGGTACGAAACGACATCGACTTTTTTAGGTGAGTG